CACTTGACCCCAGCGAAGCATCAGCACGGTTTCCGTAAAGTGCACAGTACAGCAACAGCACTTAACGCCATAAACACTCAGATAACTCGTGGCCTTAACCGTAAACGTCCCTGTGAGAGAACGATTCTAGTAGCGTTGGACCTGTCAAAGGCTTTTGACACTGTCAGCCATTCCACGCTACTAGAAGATATAGAGGCTTCCTCTCTCCCACAGAGGCTCAAACGGTGGTCGGAAAATTATCTGAGTGGTCGACACTCGTCGGTAATGTTTAGAGACAAATCGAGCAAACTTAGAAAAATAAAACAGGGTGTTCCACAGGGTGGTGTCCTTTCCCCACTACTGTTTAACGTTTACATTTCAAAGCTCCCTCAACCACCAGAGGGAGTCTCGATTGTCCCTTACGCCGACGCTTGCTCGATCATGGCGACTGGGAATGGAATTGATGACCTGTGTTCGAAAGTAAACGGATATCTCTCTGAACTTTCTCGCTTCTTCACTGCAAAGTGTCTAGCCCTCTCCACTACGAAATCCTCTGCGACCCTGTTCACAACCTGGACGAAGGAGGTCAGGCTACCGCTAGGAATTCACGTCGATGACACACCAATTCCGACGGTGGATAACCCTAAAATACTCGGAGCAACATTCGACAGCCTGCTCTCCTTCTCTGCGCACGCAACCGCTATTGTCAATGAAGTACAGAGCCGCAACAATTTCCTCAAATCGCTAGCCGGCAGTACTTGGGGCAAAGACAAAGAAACGTTGCTGGCAACATACAAGACAATAGGCTGGCCGGTTTTAAACTACGCAGCAACAGTGTGGTCGCCGGGGACTATTAGGACGCAGTAGACGAAGCTACAGACGGTACAAAACACAGCACTTAGGACAGCGACGGGATGCCTCCTGATGTCACCAGAACACCACCTCCACGATGAGGCGAAAATGCTCCCAATTAGGGAACACAACAAGCAAGCAGTTTCTGGTTGGGAGCCACAGATGTGGCCACCCAAATAGACAGCTGCTTGCAGAGGAGCCCTCGTCGAGGCACGTCAGTGTTATGTGGTGTTCGACACGAGTGGTTGCTTTGTACTGAATCCTCTTTTATTTCTTTTGTCATTTGCTTCTTACTTACTAACATGCATACATAGGGTTGCCAACTACTTACACAACATCTCCCTCGACACAATAGGGGTATTCTCGAAGTATTGCACGATGCACGTATTGCACGAAATGCAAAAATACTATCCCAAATTTCGAAGAGTACGAGAGCACCCCATTGCAAAGTGGTAGAATGCATGGGTAGCAAGCAGCGAAATTATGTATCAAATACAATAACAAGAGACAGCAGAAAAAAATGAAGTGAGCGAGATGAGAGGAATGAGAGAAATATGTAGCAATTCCAACAACAAAACAACTAGCACAGGGTCGCATATATCTTGCTATGCTATTTTGCAAAATATATACATGGGTTTCGACGTTGCATATTTTGCAGCGATAGGAAATGTCGTTTCCCATGTATTTTGTTGTTGTGTGTTTGCAAGTTATGCAATCCATGCAATCCGTGCTACGTGCAATGGCTTTGCAAGATTTGGAGAATACCCCTAATATAATTAGAAACATATTTGACTAAATATACACGTACATTTGCAATTAAAGTAATACAATATAATTCGAAACATGTTTGACTAAATATAAACTGAAGTAATGTGCTTACATGTAAAAGTGACAACTAGCTAAAGAACTAACTTTTGCGGTGGAGCTATTCTACGGCCGCTTCTGGTTGTGATGACATTTTCTTTAACTGTTTGGTTTTTTGCCCTTGGAGTACTAGTGTTCTCGAGTTCCGGTTGTGATAGATCGATATCACTTCCCTTTCTCGAACCCGACTCCGTCTTTTCGTTTATATCTGGCTCATTGTTTGCCATATTATTACTGCTATTATTTGGCTCAGAGCTATTTAACGTAGATGGTTTGTGTTCTGGAATTTTCATGATATCTACTCTATTTCTCCTGTACAGATTCTTGTTTTCATCTAAAATTATAAAAGACCTAGGCTCCTGACATTTTTGTACTATTTGACCTGGTACCCATAGGGACTTAGGATTTTTCTTATAATATATTCGGTCTCCTTTCTGAACTGGTTTCAACTCTTTAGCATTTCTGTTATACCTGCGTTTCACTTCTTCAAGTCTTTGTTTGCACCGATTTTTGAGCGATTTCTGGTCTACTATTTTGGTTTTCATTTCTGTTCACAATAGCGGTAACTTTGTTCTAAGCATTCGCGACATTAACAGTTCAGCTGGACTGGGCATATTATTTTTAGGCGTGGTCCGATAGTGCAGCAAAGCCATATACGGATCTGATCCCGTATCTTGACTCTTACATAGTAGTTTTTTAATTGTTTGTATAGACCTTTCAGCGAGACCATTCGAGCGAGAATGATATGGACTAGAGGTGTGATGATCAATTTTCCACTCGTTACAAAAGTTCCTGAACTCCTGGGAGCTAAATGGAGGTCCGTTATCTGTTATCAGGATCACTGGAATACCCTGCCTCGAAAAAATTGACTTAAATTTTATAACAACCTGTTGGCACGAGTAACCGCCACTTAGATTTTCGATTTCGATATATTTGGAGAAGTAATCAACTACTAAAAGATACATTTTGTTGTTAAATTCGAATAAATCCGCCCCTAACTTATACCAGGGAACATCAACCACTTCATGACTTAACAGCGATTCCTTACAATTCGAATTTCTGTACCTTAAGCAAGACTCACACCCTGTCACTAGGTTAAAAATGTCGTTATTTATGTTCGGCAAATAAACAGATCTTCGAGCTAACTCTTGACATCGCTGGATGCCCATATGTCCTTCATGAATATGGGCTAGCATTTTTGTTCTCAAAGATTTCGGTACAATTACCCGGTTATTTTTTAATAATATCCCTTTAATTTCGTTTATGTCGTCCCTGAGTGCATAATATGGGCTTACATCGGGGTCTACTTCTTTCTTTGACGTTGGCCAACCTGTCTTTAAATATCTAAAGATTTTTTGGGAGACCTGGTCCTGACCCGTTGCTTTTTTAATATCCTTTCTGGTAAAGCTACGTGTGCAATTACTGCGTTGCAATGTAAATCGAGTTCTTTGTCGACATTGAAGTCCGTTGTTTCTTTAATCGGGGCTCTGGATAGGGTGTCAGCTATATACATTTGTGTACCAGGCTTATATTTAACAGTCAAGTTGTACATTAGCAGGCGTAGTCTAAATCTTTGAAGACGTGCCGGTATTTTATATAAAGGCTTATCGAAAAGAGGTACCAGTGGTTTGTGGTCTGTTTCTACCGTGATGTGTTTTCCGTATAGGTACTGGTGAAATTTTGTACAACCAAATAAAATTGCGAACATCTCTTTCTCAATTTGGGCGTAATTAACCTGACTATTAGACAGAGAGGCTGACGCATAAGCAAGAGGATTATTGCCATGCATAATTACTGCTCCTACTGCAAACTGGGATGCGTCAACAGACAACGTCAATGGTTTATTTGGATCGAAGTACGCTAAAACAGGCGTTTTTGTAAGTTCTTGTTTCAAGTATTCAACTTCTCTATCATGAACGTCCTGCCAGTGCCATAATGAATCACTTTTGAGTAAATTGCGTAAGTTTTGGTTTTTGGCTGATAAGTTTTTGATGAAAGAACCCAGGTATTTGACCATGCCTAAGAATCGTTGCAGGTCTTTTACATTAGTGGGTTTTGGCATATCAACAATTGATTTTACTCTCTCCGGATCGACCTGTACGCCCTCTTTACTGAAAATAAGCCCTATGAATTTGAGTTTTTCCTTAAAAATATTTGATTTATTCCTATTAAACCGTAACCCTACTTCATTTGCTCTTTTCAACACCTTTTCAAGTATTTTACTATGTTCTTCCACATCTTTTGCATGTATCAAAAAATCGTCCATATATATAATCAAACCTTGAATGTCCCCAAATAGCCTCACCATTTCTGCATGAAATATTTCAGGTGCAGCATTTATGCCAAAAGGCAGACGTAAAAACTTGTAACGACCGAACGGAGTTATAAACGTACATAACTTCGAAGACTCCTCATTTAATGGGATCATCCAAAAGCCCGAACTGGCATCTAATGTGCTAAATATTCGAGACCCAAACATTTTAGACTTGCATTCCTCCACCGTAGGCAACGTAAAACGCGGTATTACTATTGCTTTATTTAAATTTTTAGGATCTAGACATATACGTAAATTGCCATTTGGTTTGGTCACAATCACAATAGAGCTAACCCATTCTGTTGTGCCTTCTACCGGCTCTATAACGTTAAGGTCCATCATTCGTTTCAGTCCTCGTTTTAAAGGTTCATACAAACTAAATGGAATTCTACGCGATGCGTCAACGGTTGGGATACTACCTTCTTTCAGTTGTAAACCACACTTTCTTTTTAATACACCCAATCCACTAAACATTTCAGCGTACTTTTCCAACAAATCTTCACTCTTTATTTCATTAACCATCTTTATAAGCTCTAAGTCTTTTGCTGTAGGTAAACCTATGACATTTTTGCAACTCATTTTTAGTATATAAAATATCGCCTCAAAAGTCTTGTTTGCATACTTAAATTTAAGGTTGGTTGTACCAACTACTTCCAGTTTTTCACCACTGAAAGTTCTAATTGAACTCTTTACATTGTAATTTATTTGCGCTTTTAACAAATCTGCTGTTGCTTTCGAGATCAAATTCACTTGTGCCCCTGTATCGACCTGACATCTTAACTCTACTTTACTTATGTATATATTTATGTACCATACATCTTTACTTTTGTACGTATCCGCCTGCCGCTCGCTGATTTCGCCAACAAATAACGAGCTTTCTTCTTCGCCTTCATCCGCCTCATACATACACATCTGCTTCCCTGAATTGTCCTCGGCTCTGCCTGCTACTTTTTCGACCGCTCTCACATATACACGGGAATTTCCACCGCCGTTAGGTTTTTTTTCGCATATAACACATTTTAGCATAGTGGTTGAGTTTACCGCAATTATGGCACTTTACCCCTTCTGCTGGGCATTTGTATTTATGCCACGTTCCACATTTGGTACAAGTAACGGCCTGCACTTTTGTTTGTTGTTGTTGCGTAACTGCGTGGTCACCACTTTTGTTCCTGATAACTGCTATAAACTTTTCATTATCTGCACCCAATTCGGCTGAGTTTTCTTTGGCTAAGACCATGTTTTTTGCGATTGCCACTGCTTTATCTAATTTTAAGTCCACTTCGCTGAGCAAGCGTTCTTTGACACTTTTAAACCTTGGCGAAAGCCCGCACACAAAAATGTCTCTTATTAAATCTTCCCGTAAAGTTTTGAATTCGCATGATAGGCTAAGGTTCTTTAAAACAGTTACGAATTCTTCAATTGTCTCTTCTTCAGCTTGCTTCCTGGAGAAGAACCGATATCTCTCCACAACCACATTCACTTTAGGCACGAAGTAGTCGTTAAAACTTTTTAGGAGTTCATCGTAGCGAACCGTATCAATATCATAGTTGAACGAGTTGAACACCAAGAGCGAATCCGGTCCTATGTGGTGCAGCAATAGTGCCACCTTTTGCTGGTCGGTCTGTTGCTCCAGCCCCGCTGCACGCATGTATATTTTGAAGGAATTTTTCCAATTATTCCATGCGAGTGACAAATTGGTTGCCTTTAGGTCCAATGGGCTAACTGTTGTAGTCATGCTGTCCACTTTACTGCATTCTGCTGTTGGTTGCGCCTTCTCTGTAGGCATGATGAAAATATATATATATTTATTTCTTTATTTTTTGACCGCGACCTGACACCATGTTATGTGGTGTTCGACACGAGTGGTTGCTTTGTACTGAATCCTCTTTTATTTCTTTTGTCATTTGCTTCTTACTTACTAACATGCATACATAGGGTTGCCAACTACTTACACAACAGTCAGGAGGCATCTATATGAACTGACGGACGAGGTTCATTAAGCAGTCTCTGGACCCGTCAGCTTACAGACAGGCCCTGAACGGCATTCACAGGGACGCAGTCTCGAGTTATGTAGACTCAAGACCAGTGAATGACGTTCTAGGCACACAAACACCGGACATTGACGCGACGGAGCTCCATCTGCCTCGGGAGACCAGAACGACAATAGCCCAACTTCGCTTTGGTTACTGAAGCAGGCTAAACTCCTACCTCAGTAGGCTAAATACGGATGTGCCGAACGAATTTCCGGCATGCGGAGAGACCCCTCACGACTCGCAACATCTCTTGGCATGCCCGGAAAACCCCACAATCCTAACGGCGTCGTCCCTGTGGGCCGACCCCATAGAGGCTGCACGCTTCTTGGGGCTGCCGTTAGTGGAACTCGAAGACAACGACTGAGATATCAGCCGATCTGAGCGGGGTTGTTGTAGCCGCTACAACAACAACAACAGACAGCGAAATAACTGTAACGATGTTTGAAAGCTTTTGAGATGGGATATTTAGGAAATAAATAAATTAAAAAAAATCTTTTTAATATACAACGCTTTTATAAATGGACTAAAAAGTAGAAAATAATATTTCTCAGTTCCATAGAAATTTTAGCAAAAGTAATTGTAAACCATTTATGAGATTGAAAACGAAATACGTGGAGCGCATGCAATACAAAGCATTAGATTTAATTGACAATAGTCAAACTACATAACATAGACCTAAAATTTCTACAGAGAAAGTACAAATTTGAAATCGATTTTAAGCGGTCGTTATTCATACATCTACATTCATACATGTATTACCCTTCAAAGCCTGTATGGTAAAAATCTTTGCCAAATTGATGTTACGTATGAAGGTATTTTGAACAAGATTGAATCAAAAAACTATTGATGGACAGTTATGCTTTTACACACCTAGCAATGGATAATAATGCTTGCAAAATTAAATCAGTATCACAGTTTAATATTTCATCATATAATATAGCTAATTTAAAAAGTAAGCTAAAATTCAGTAACTTTTTACGTTTATTAAATCATTCGATATTTTCTTTTTGTTTGAGACCGACGTACTTGCCGAAGACAGAACCAAATTTTCTCACCATTTTACAGATTACGTTTTACTTTGGATAGATGCAATTAAGATACACAAAGCAGGCCGCGCTAACGGTGGTTGTCTTTTTGGTTTCAGAAAAAGCTTAACAACGGCCTATAAAATTAAGTTTATTAACGTCTCTGGATGTATGGTACTTTCAGTGAATCTTCATTCATGTACATGATTAATTCCACAGTACTTGAATTGCAACAATTGGTATGAACATTTTCAATATTTAGAAAACTTTTTCGCTACTGAGCACCCAGACTCTTTTTGTGTTCTTGGTGATCTAAACGCACGCGTGGGTAAACCACAACCAATTAAAAAACACCTACTGTCTGGGCTACCTGAATTTTCGGAAAGTAGGGATTCAAAAGACTCAGTATTAGATACTAATGGTAGAACAATTCTGAGCTTAGTTGTGGATGTGGGGGGAGTTATCTTGAACGGAAGGATATCTGGCGATAGGTGTGGTGAGTTCACGTTTTGTGGAGCTGTAGGATGCTCGGTTATTGACTACGCTATATGTTCCTTTGACCTCCTTCCGCTTACTAATAGCTTTTCTGACCATATGCCGCCTTTGATGCAGTTCTCGGTGCCGGAGAAGGAAGACACGGATTATTTAGGGGTGTGAAGTGTAGCCTTTCTTCGCAGGATCTTTACAGCCATTTTGAAACTTTGCTATCTTGCACAGCTGACACACCTTGCATGCACTGGACTTTGCCCTCAGTTGTGGACCCGTTTCTAGATTCTCCTTTTGAGCTCCGCGAGCTGAAGCTTGTTCTTAAAAGGCTTAAAGAAAATAAGGCTCCTGGTCAAGATGGTATTAGCTATGAATTCTATAAGTACGCCCCAGAGTGTTTTCTAACTGAGCTTCTTGCATTGTACAATATAATATTTCTTAAAAAGCAAATTCCTCAAAGTTTTCGTAACGCTATTATTATTTATCTTTTTTAAAAAGGTGATCCTGACGTTCCGTCCAACTACAGGGGTCTCTCTTTGCTCGACACAATATATAACATTTTTACTGGTCTTTTGCTGAGCCGTCTAAATGCGTGGCTTGACTGTAACAATATAATAACTGAATTTCAAGCTGGCTTCCGCAAAAGTTATTCAAAAATGGACAACCTTTTTACTCTAACTAGTATTATACACTTGAATTTTAATGCGAAAAAGAAAACTTATGCCTTCTTCGTCGACTTTTCATGTGCTTTTGACACAATTCCTCGCGGTATGCTTTTCAACAAGCTAGCCTCTCTCGGTCTCTCCAGCCATATTGTAGCGGTTATTCGATTAATATATGATAACAAAACTAGTCGGGTGTGGTTAGATGGGGAGTTTTCCGACCCGATTTTTGTTAATCAAGGTATACGTCAAGGTTGGCTGACTTCCAAAACGTATCAATACATTACATTACCATATACATTGCATATTTTAAATACTCAATATAGCAATGAACATTTTTCTGAATTTTCCATTTTTAAAACACCAATGGTAACCAATAACAAACAAAGCATCAACTTTGTTTCTGATGCGCTGATTGCACTAGCGATGCATTTCGATAAAGGTATACTTGGTAAAGTATACTTCGTCAACATTTTGTAGTTCCGCGTAATGGAACATTATACTTTGTACGTATGCAAAGCAATTGCCGTTTCGGAAGTCAGCCATAGTTTGTTGAGTTCAAGCCTTTTCTCATTATATCTTAATGATTTAAGTGACAGCCTCCCCTGCGGAGTGAAAGTTGGTGACACAATAGTAAAAGTTCTGAGGCACGCCGACGATATTGGGCTTTTAGCAGATTCTGCATTAGATTTACAAAAAATGATAGACGAGCTTCGCGTTTACAGTACGCAGTGGGGGCTGAAGGTTAACCTCGCCAAATCTAAAATTTTAGGTTTTAGGGAATGCAGTAGAATTCCTTCCGGATGTCGTTGGAATTTTGGAAATGAGGTTATTGATATTGCCAATACGTATAAGTATTTGGGTTTACTTTTAAACTACAAACTTACTTTTGTGAAGCACTTAGACGCAAAACTGCGGTAAACGCCACATGGATCAAATATATAAACAACCCTCGTATCTCTATCTCAAAGAAGATGAAAATTTTCGATGCTGCGGCTAGGTCCATTATGCTTTATGGTGCACAAATCTGGAGTATTGATAAGTTTGAACCCGTAGGGAAACTCCCTGCGTTTCTTTTTAAAAAAGTTAATATTTCTTCCCTCTAATACCCCAAACTACATGCTGCACCTGGAAAACGGGTTATGCCCTAAATTTTTCCACACCTTACGTGCCCATATGTTCTTTATTGGGCGCTGTTTTAGTCTGCCGTCTAACAGATTGACCCGCATCGTTGCCGAGGAGACAGTGCGACAAGGTTCGTACTGGGCTAAAAAGTGGTACAATATTTATGAAAGTGTTAATATGGAACCGGATTTCTCCCCTGCTCTGCTTAAAAAGAACATTCCTTTAATATTGGAAAAGCTGATCCAAATAGAGTTTGCGAACTTCACTGAAAGAGCACACCAGTCCCAAACGCATGACCTTTACCCGGACCTAATACCTACAGGCCCTACCTACTTTAATGATGACTATACTGCGTATGCTACAAGTCTTATTTTTCGCGCAAGAGGTGGCTTACTTAATCTTAATGCAAGATCTTTTAAAAATATTTCTACTAAGACCTGCTCTATTTGCAATTTGAGAGCTGTTGAAGACACCTATCATTTCATTAGGGAATGTCCTATATACAAAAATATTCGTTTCGATTGTTTTGGTGAGAAATTCTTGGACCTGCCAAGAGTTTTAAATATTCCTAATGATGGTAACTATCGTTCACTGCATATTTATATAAGTAATTGCCTTAAATATAGAGAGCTGATTGTAAATGAGTTTTCTTAAAAAAAAAAGAGATATATATATATAATATTGTTTAGTTCTAAGTGCAATGCAGACATCCAACATTTATTGTTATTGTCTATTATCTTTTATTTATTTAAATTTTAATTTTAAAGTTTGTTTGATTTTCTAAAAACTTTTATAATTCAGGATCTGAAGAAAATAAATGAAATTACTACTACTACACTACTATATATTACCCTTCATATCAATTCAGGTCTATTACATGCGCTTCACTCTTTTCATTTTCAATTTCATAAATGGTTTATAATGACCTTTGCTAAAATTTCAAAATCAAAAGTCATCAAAACAAATTCTATGGGACTGAGAAATATTATTTTCTAATTTTTAGTCCATTTATAAAAGCGTTGTATAATAAAAAGATTTATTTATTTTCTAATGTCTGTATAAAATTTTTCAATAGATATTAAAATAATTCAACTTGCAGTGAAAAGAGAACAGAAGACTGTGCAAGCAAAATGTTGTTTGCTCACGTTTAGTATAAACATACATATGTACATACATACTTATAGCAGCAGTAAATTTCATTTAAAAAAATGGCCAGTCGTCCATTTCCGCTGTAGCGTATGTAAATAGTGGATATATTTAGGCGCAATATTTAATTTCTTCTGGCGGGGCGACATCTAGAGTCTTCTAATTGTATTTCTTTGATATGATACCTACAACGAGGTTGATATCTAGACTAGGTTGATATCTAGAATTTGCCGTAAATAACTTTTCTACATTTATAGTAGAAATGGACGTACAACATTGCAAGTTGAGAAAAGCTTTGTAAAATAGTCT